ACTAAAAGCCCTACGTATTGACCATAACGTTCTAAAACTTTTGGCGGCTATTGCACGGCAGTGTGCAGTAGTCTTTAAGTCTTGACTAACGATAACTCCTAAGTCATTATATGTCTGGACGACAGGTAGCTCAGTGTTATTCATCGTGTATGTATCTGTGCCTTGATGACCGATATGCATCACAACACACTTGGAAGTATTTATCGGCAACTGCCATGTTTGAGACCATTCAGATAACTTCTTCAGGTCATTTTGAAGTTCTAAGCTATCACTCTTACATCGTATCGTTCTCCATATCTTGACATCGTCAGCATATAGCAAGACCGATGATGATAGGAGACAAGGAAGGTCATTTACATACAAGAGGAATAGCACTGGCCCCAAAACTGTACCCTGGGGCACTCCGCTAAGCACAGTTTCCCAGCTAGATAACTTTGAGTTCACCCTTACTCTTTGTTGACGCCCAACTAAGAAGTCTTTTATCCACATCAATAAATTACCTCCAATCCCGACTTTTCTTAACTTATATAACAGCCGGTTGTGCGGAACTTTATCAAAAGCTTTACTGAAATCAATGAAGGCGACGTCTACAGGTAGCTTTTGGTCCTTAAGAGCGCACCAGCTTTCACGAGCCACTAATAAGTTAGTGAGACAAGAATAACCTATTCTGAAGCCATGCTGCTTCTCCGAGAGGATCCGGTTTTTATCGAGATACTTAAACAGCTCCTTCCGAATAATCTTTTCTAATATTTTAACAACCACACTAGTTAGGCTAACGGGGCGGTAGTTCTCAGGTTTGTGTTTCGTGCCTGTTTTGAAGACAGGACTTACTATGGCGTTTTTCCAATCTTTCGGTAAGCGACCCTGCGTAACGGATAGGTTAAAGCATGTACTTAAAGGGTTCGCAACGAAGTTAGATAATTCCTTCAGTAGCCTAGGATGTAATTCATCGGGCCCCGTGGATTTACCTATGTCAAGCTTATTTAGCAGACCAAAGACATCGAGTTCTTTAATGGTCACGCTATCCAGTGTATGTATGGGGGGATCTGTATACGCTGACGAGAAGGGTGCTTCTATGGTATACACGTTGCTAAAGTAGTTCGAGAACGCTTGAGCCTTACCAAAGTCGTCCTCCACTAATGATGAAGCAGTACTGTCTCCCCATAGAGCAGGAATATTTCCTTTTCTCCTTGTCCTTTGGTTTATATAGGAATACAAGCGTTTAGGACATTCTATGGATTCCTTAACAAGTTTTTCTTCGTACAATTTTCTAGACTTACGGAGGGTCGAGGCACAAGTGTTCCGAGCCTTTCGATACTGAGATTTTGACTCATCAGTCCCCAGTAACCTAAATCTATCCCACATTTTCCTTTTCTTACGGAGAAGGATACGGACCTCCCTACTGAACCATGGTGGTGAGTTTTTCGGCCCCTTTGGTATAGTCCAAGGGATGTGAGGTGTGGTAACTTTTAAGTATGATTTTCGAAATGCGTCCCAGGCCGTTTCAATGGAGGACTCTGGGTCTATTGTCCAATCTATTAACGATGCTGAGTGCATGATGTCTGGTATGTTTGCTTTCCAGACGTTGGGTCTGGACTGGACTGACGCGTCCTCATGACTGGCAGTTATATGGAAGTCGAAAGTTAAAACTGCGTGGTCACTTTTACCTAAGGGTGGCATATGATGGAGGTTCGCAACATCATCCTCATAGTGAGTCAGTATAAGATCTAATAAGGATGATTCAGTGTCCGGGTCGTACCTAGTCGCTTCTTTCACATGTTGCACTAGAGCACATGTGATAACCGCATCAACTAGTTCCTGCTCGAAGGAATTTTCTGACGATTCAGTTCGCAGATTTTCCCAGTCTACCATAGGTGCATTAAAGTCCCCTAGGATTAGACATCGACCACTTTGGGACCAAGTATTGAGACTGCTTAACAGGATCTCATTTGCCTCACAGCTTGGACTGCGATAGACCAAACCAATCAGCAGCTCTTGTCCCTTGCATTTTAAGCGAAGACTAACTAATTCACACGTCCCACTCTCATGGGATACACTATCGATAATGGTAAATGGGATAGCATTCCTAATGAATAGAGCTACTCCCCCTCCTTTGCGCTTTTGTGTTCTGTCGGCCCTTACTAACGTAAAGCCCTCGAAATCAAGTTCTATACTATCTATAGCCTGTGTCAGCCAGGTTTCTGTTACTGCGATTATATCTGGCTTTATAGAGTCAATCTGCACACCTAGTTCCGATCGCTTATTAAGTAAGCTTCGTGCATTGGTGTAACAGATCCGAAGCCTGTTTAAGTGCCTTCGTGCTTCACCCAGAGTGGCTTCGGCATCATTCTCTGTCGAAGTCTTACAACCCGAAAATTTACAATTTTCAGGTCCTTTTCGCCAGCGTCTAACCTATGTTGTAGTTCTTTCTCGGCTTCCCGTCTTTTAACACGGTCTGCCAACGGTAGGTCCTTTCGGATAAAGACTCCTGAACCCTTTAATTTGTGTCCATTTTGTAAAATTAGGTCACGTTCGTTTGAAGAGCCGAATACTACTTTAAGCAGTCTGGAATGATTTGGTTTCGAGTCCGTTAGACTCCCTAGTCTATACACCTTTAGCAAGGTGACCCCAGTCATATTTTGAGGCATGAGTTGATTAAGCAGCTGCCTAATCAGTACAATGTCATGCTCAAAACGAGCTTTAGGTTCAGAGCTATCGCTCTCCTTAATTCTATGAAAAATAGCTGATCTGTCGCTATGATCAGCTTTCGATTTTTCAACCACTTTTACGGGGGCAGGTTTCCCTTTTATATCAATACTTTTCTTCCTTACAACCTTTACCCATTCGTCAACGCTGCTGGTAGAAGCAATAGCAGTTGCGTCAAACCTAGTGTTGGGTTTTGGGGGGTTGTCGACGACCTGAGGGGTCGTGTTATGTTTACCATTTGAAACCGATCGAGCCTTGCGATTGCGGCTCCTAGGTGTTTCCTGTTGGATCCCATCTGGGAGACGGGGAACAGAAGACCCTACTTTTCTTGAGCTTTTTTTAAGGCAGGCCCCTTTGGAGACTGCTTTTCCTTCTTTGACGGGCGTGAGTCATCTATCACCGGACTCACCTTAGTTTCCTTCACATTGATTTGCGTGTCAACAGATCGAGTGCTGTTTGACGCGTTCCGACTATGCTTGTTGAAACACTTCTTTGCAGCATCAACCAGTGAGATGGCCTCGGTTAACAAGCTGTTTGCATCCGAGCAGCACTGTTGACAAAGCCACACACAACCCTTCTTACTGAACCGTTTGAAAGCAGCAGGCGTTAAGTTCGTGCAAACTTCGTGGTACCAGCCTTTGCACTCGTCGCACTGCATGCCGCTTTCAACAGGATAACGACAACCCGGACGTTGGCAACTGCTTTTTTTACACTGTCCGGTCATTTAGGAGGGGTTTTTTCAATATGCGATGATACCCAGAAACAAAAAAATTATCAATGACCAAAAAAGTGAAGAGCTGTAGATTGCTAGGACCAAAAGTACTAACAGATACAGTTGAAAAAGAGGTACTAAAGAGTACCAACGACAAAACAGTAAAAACGATACTTTAGTCAAATACTTTAACTGAAATAAATTCAATTAAAGTGAAAAACAGTAGTCTTGATACGTAATAAACGATCAAAACAATGAAATTTACTCAGCGAGGAAAAATACCACTGTCCTTTTTAAATAGCGCGCGTGAATAACCTATTCTGAAGCCGTGCTGCTTCTCCGAGAGGATCCGGTTTTTATCGAGATACTTAAACAGCTCCTTCCGAATAATCTTTTCTAATATTTTAACAACCACACTAGTTAGGCTAACGGGGCGATAGTTCTCAGGTTTGTGTAGTTCTGTTCCTCGCATCAAGTGGTAAATCACTAAAATTCTCTACCAGAACACATAATATCAGCACCTGTTGGTATATTCAAGACGAGATTGGATTTCCATAGTGGCAAAAACCGCAAGGATAAATACAGGTTGATAGACTGCATATTCTTATTACTGAAGACTGAATTGTCAATAACCGGTTTGTTCAAAACTTTTCGCTTCGTTGAAGTCACGAGATTTCACCATTGGCTTTTGCCGATGTTTCGTTTCTATATAGGAATACTTCATAAGTCGTTATTGGGCCCACAACATAATTTTCTTGTACCACGGTCTGTTATGTCCTTGAATCTCTTAAACGCGTGGTATTATGTACATATCCCTGTATAAAGTTAATATAGTCACTGTTGACTCACGAATTCATATTTGTATATTTATATGTGCATATATATATTTAGGGGTTGCTCAATACGCAAAACCATATTTTCGAGGCCTCGGAACAATTTTATGGCGAGGCTATGATTCAAGGACAAATCAATTAGGCATAAGATAACCTCTCAGATTTTAGTACGAAATTCACTCATCCACTTAGTTAAATTGAGTTTTGGTATTATAGCTAATGTCATTTCGTGATGAAAATCCTGAACATTAACCACAAACTGTTAATCATAATTCTTATTACTCACACTGGTTTATAACACTCATTCGGTCTCGGTTATTAGGTGGACACCCCCATAAATTGTAGTCTCAACAAGACTGCATAAAAACCTATGTGGAATTCGGGGTTTGAGTCAGGAAGTTATGGAACTTGCCGAAAGTCATAGTGATGCTACCTTCCGCTAAATCTTTCGGAAAAACGGTTGATCACTTTAGTTCTGCAAATACTAAAGGCGATTACTCCAAGTGTTGCTTATTGATCACTCCTATCATTAGCTAAGTTGTACCTCTCAGTTTCTCGGAGTATGACAAGAATCATGCCTCTAATCTAGAACACTCCAACTACCCAGACACTGATTACAAGAAAAAAACAGTTCGTTAATCCTGACAAACCAATTGGAAGTTGTAATGCAGTTTACTAAATAGTTTCGTGAGGTTAAACGATACACAGTCGTCAATTATGACAACGTGTATGTAGCTTTCGTTTACTGCATGGTTCCGGGAATAACTGGATCTTCTTTTCGACCTAACAACTCAGCTGACGGACAAAAATCCCTCGATAATCATTTTGGCCGGAAAACAGAAGTAAGAGTCCCATCGGTCATTGTTTGTGGTTTAGATAACTATCATATAAAATGCTTTATATCTTACTCATATCCGAAATTGTCTGCAAACTTGATTTTTGAGATCAATGAATGCTCGTGTGTTTATTATAGTCCTTTAATTTATCCAGACTAACATTCTGGAGTCTGGATAGTTAGTCTGGCTGTAAAAGGCCGGATCTACAACGCGTCGGTGAGAGCAGTTTTGCTCTATGCTTGTAAAACCTGGCCTCTCCGAGTTGAGGACGTTAGACGACTCTCTGTGTTCGATCATCGCTGTCTCCGAAGGATTGCTGACATTCAGTGGCAACACCATGTCAGTAATGCAGAGGTTCGGCATCGTGTGTTCGGGCACAGAGATGATAATTCAATTGGTGTCACCATCTTGAAACACCGACTACGGTGGCTTGGACATGTTCTCCGAATGTCGTCCCAGAGAATTCCACGTCGTGCATTATTTGCCGACTCTGGGACTGGTTGGAAGAAGCGGAGAGGTGGTCAGTTCATGAGATGGTGTCGTGGTATGAAAGAAAGCTGCAAAGGACTGGCATGTGTTGGTCCTTCACGACTCCCTGGTTGGGGTCCGAGAGATGGTGCTACACAGTGGCTAGAGACGTTATCAGATATGGCTCAGAATAGAAGCCAGTGGCGATCCTGCTGTAACCTTCTTTTACTTTCTTCATAAAAAGTGGTTGTGTCTTCCATAATTGAAAGATTTCTTCTGATTGTACCTTTTCGTTCCGTCGTTACTACCACACTACTTTACTCCAATCTCTTCGTCATTGTTCTCTTTTTCTTTTGCACTCCTTAGTTTTTTTTTCTACTTCTCTTCGAATTCTCATTGTTTTGTGTGGCGCATATATATTGGCGCTCTCTTGTACCAATATTCATGTGTTCAAATAAAATAAAAATTAATTTATCCAGGTGCTACCACAAGAAAAATGCTGAACGGTATTAAAAAGGAATCGAAAAACACGTTAACACCGAATAATCCAGTTTCTTGTTACGTATTGTGTCCTTCCGTTAGTGATAAAACTAGTGTTTTAAACTCTTGCTGGTATCATATTGCTGCAAAACTTTGAGGGATTGATGATCATAAATGAAGAGGTGAATGCTTTATTTCAAACTTTTTTTCAGTTTAATCATATAAAGTTTAGGATTTCAGTGCACACTTGTCTTCAGAAATTAATATTTTGTTGTTTCATCTCTTTCAGCAGCTATGTGTGACGAGTCTAGCTACATTAGTAAGCCTATTTCCACTATACAGGAATTGATACACTGGGACTTCCCGTCTACATCGAATCTTACAATACCTTTAAGCTATTTCAGTGACTTTTTAAATGGTAATTTGTCTTTTCCTTTGCCAGCAATCAAATATAGACTTTGGCTTTATTCGTAAGTCCTCTGGATTACCTAAAGTTATATACTGTCATGATATGGCTGGAGGTTATCTGTCCTCTGATCGGACAGTCAACTTCACTTGTGTTTTTCCTGCTTTTCGATTCGTTCATTGGCACTTGGTTGACATATTTATTTACTTCAGTCATCAGTTCATAACTATACCGCCAGTCTCATGGATTAATCTTGCACATAGGTAAGCTGTTTTAGAATACTTTTTAAGATGCACTCATTTTAAACGTTAACTTACCACTTATTTTTAACAAAAGACCGTAGTAACGAAACCATTACGGTAAGGTCACTAAGTATGTGTCTTTCACTGATTCAAACTAAACTCATAGTTATCTAATAATTTTTATGTTTGGATTCGGTCTATTTAACTGTTTCTTGTGTATTTTTCGCATTATTTATCAAAAGCCTAGGTACTACACAATTTTCGAAAACATGAGAAAGGTCCTGTTGACATTTTATAACATATGCACTTTTCGGCAAAATGTTCCAAAAATTCACCGTAATCTAGTCACATTACTTACTAATAATAACCTATGTGAAAATGATCCATTATCTCGAGGCTGAATTACTGTGTTTATATCAAGATTAACGGTATTTGCCAGTTACTTATTAACCATGTTTATAATTGTAATACCTGCCCTATTCATTAGTGTAGAACTTAAAAAAAACAAACAGAATCTCTTAATATGAATTGTTTCTCCGAACATAAACTAAACAGTCAGTCAGCTACAATGTAAGACCAGGCACATCTGTACATCAGTCCAAGTTGTCATACCGCATTAGCGCAGCAAGATGAACACCGGATTCATAGGAGTGGTTAAGTCAGTGGTGATAATATATAAAAGAAAGATTGCATATAAGGATATAGTACAGGAAGAAAATTAGTTGGTAGAAGGAAAGATGTAAAGCAGTTTTAATCTCACAGTTTAAGGGAAGACAAAAAGTGTATACAACGATGCCATTGTGATCGATTCTGATCCATGTCACCAAGAGTCTCCAACCATTGGTTACGATAGTTACGCGGACCCCAACCAAGTAGTCTGCATCTACCAACATGGCTCAGACTAGTGACTTCAAGCACCGATGCCACGTTTTGGTTTGGCCGCCCCTAACTTTCTTCCAACCATCCCGAACACCGGTTAGCATTGCACGTCGTGGTAATCGGTGTCCAGGCATACGCAACACGTGGCCCAACCATCTCAGTCGATGGAGATTCACAACCTCATCAACTGATCTACCATCATTCTCTAATACCCTACGTCTAACCTCACTATTACTTACCCGGTGATCCCAGCAGATGCCAGCAATATTTTTAAGGCATCTGTGGTCAAATACTAGTAGGTTACGAGTATCTTCTACTCTTAATAGCCATGTTTCGCAGGTGCAAAGCAGAACAGAGCGAACTGCTGCGCAGTATACTCGTTTCTTAATTGATAGATGGATATCTCGCCTTCGCCGGGTGAATGACCACACTAGGATCCTGTATGCGCGTTTCGAAGACACAACATACGTCAATGGTACGAGATTTTAGGGTTTTAGCCAAGGAGTTCTACCGGTCAATTCGACATACGGTGCGTACGTTAAAGTCTCCAGTGTGTAGTTTGGAGCGAGGTTTCAGTAGACCTTGAACAGTGTTTTTCGTGCACTAGAATCGTTGGCTATGGTGACACTTGAGGAGGAAACCAAAAGTAGAAGTTTAGAGTTGAAAGTCGATGTAGGAGGAATAATAGGAATTGAAGAGGGAGGTTGATTATGAATACAGTGATCTTAAGTGTTGTTAGAGGTATGAGGGCGGTTATCACTTCCCCGTTGCCCACATTGTGGAAGGGTTCTTCTGGAGGTACCTGAAAATGAAATTGGGTTAGAGGTAATTTTAGTGACATGAGAGCGTGAGCACAGTGCCCAAGGGACAACTGCTCGAGGTCGGTCACACACGACCTTTATGTGAATAATTTTCGTGTTAGCTCCGTGCTTGTTGAGACCTTACTGCCGGAGACTGATGTCGGTGGGATAAGGCGAGGTGTGCATTTTTAGGGTTGACCTTTTCTAACCCCACCTCTGCTTGTGGGAAGGCAGCATTGCTGTTATGCTGAAGGAAACACCTTACTGCTGTCACACCTCTGTACAGTCAGCAGTACGACTTCGCCTCATGACCTTGGGTTTGCTGCTTTTAGTCTTACCGTTCTTCAACCGACCTGTCTGGCATGGTAGGACTTTGAGGAACGATTGTTTCAGCCAGTTTAGCTCGATTGGTTCATCACGATAGGCAAGCCCGACCACCACATCAAGGTAGTAACAACGGTCGGGATGAACTAAACACAATGTTCGCGGTTAAAACATCATTGATAAAAACTCGATTTTTGGCAGATGCTAATACCTATTCATGATGATTCTCATGAATATTACTTTTCTGGTGATAAGATTAAACGACGACTGGACAACTAGTTTTGCAATTTTAAACTCATATTTACATAAAAGACTGTAAACCTATGATACTTTGATATTTAAACTTGACTGGCAAGAATCGGGTTACAGTTTTTGGTGGCTATGTATATCCATCCTTATAGTAAGTACAATTGAATGGATGCTACGCCTAATTTTACTTGAATACTATTATAGATCTGCCACACCTGTTCTCTCCAAGCTGGAAAAGCTTATCGTTTATCGACTATGTAGCATGTAGTTCTGTACATGGTTGCTATAATTCTTTCTCAATGGATTACATTCTTAATGGTCGGTTAGTTATTCTGAACATCTATAAATCTTTTTCTGGTCATTTTTAAGACAGGGTGTCAGTGTCTATGGTACTGTAATTATGGAATCAGTTGAGTGTGATGGATTCAAATTCATTTTTATGGGTTCCTCGGAACATTATCGTGATGTCAATAAAATATCAAACTATAAGGATTTTGCCATACGTTTGGATCAAATAAGACGAGTTGTTGGATTTGAGGGTTGGTTTATTAACTTTGAAATTTCTCTACCCTGGGTATGTAGACATTTATTTAATTTACTGCACGTTATTAATCTTCTAGTTTTCATAATTTTATCGTTCTATATATAGAAATTCACGATATTATTCATTTTTGGTTTTTGGTTTCTCACTACCAATCGGTATTGTCATTTTCACTCCTTAAGTTTTCCTCACGTTGATTCCCTTTAACTGTACTCACATGAATTAAAGCAATTTAGACCAATGTGAATTTTTGTGTGATCGAACTGTGTTTATGTTAATACATCTAATTTTTAACCCTGATCACATGGCCAATATTTCTATAAATCTGTTTACAGTATGCGAGTATAAGGTTTTAACACGCTATTTATAATTAGGTAAGATTTTTCTTACACTACCTTGTTTGCTTAAAAGACAGGTCAGTGAATTAATTTCCGTTTAATGTGATCCAAATATTCAGCTTTATTAAGATACTATTGTACTTGAAAGTGGAATTTATCGAGAAAATGTCGACTAATACTTAAGGAATAGTTCAAACCGAACTTAACTTTGGAGAAAGCTTCCATATGAATATGGCGTCCGATTTTTCAGCAAGTAGATCTCAGATAGTGTTGTGCGAAGACAACTTATCAGAACTGCAAGCAGTCCGATCACATATTAACTTAAAATATCTTTATAAGAAATCAAGATCAAACTATAAGTGTCTGAACGCAAGAAAATCAAAGATAGTAAGGGAAAAAGCAACATAAATCATACCACTCTGGATATCAAATTAAAGTTAGTATGACCATGGTAGGATTAACGTAGGTACAAACTTTTTGAACACAACGGGGTTTAAGTTTTCATATGACTGAGGTATCAAAAATTCACACATACATACATTTGCTCTCAATGTTATGGAATATCATAGATTAACTGTCAGTCACCACCAGTAATTCTCAAGCTGAAGTAGACTCGGGGTAAAACAATTATAATTACATTTTCCGAAATTAAAATATGCTGAAGTCCCAAGTGGAAGAAAATGCAGATACCTAGTCAGTATCGTTTCGTGGTAATACGCACTGCTAAGGAGTCCCATACGACGAAATGGCCGTCCAGTGCTTCCACGTTTTCCATGGTAGTCTAGCTTTAATCGACCCATGAATTCAACTGTTAAATCACCAATATGTCAACAAGTGCAGTCGTATTTCTAGATAACCAGTATCGTTAATGTTCTGGTTCGCCGAACTGTATATTTCTAAACGTCTTGCTTGATTTAGTTAATGATGTCGCGAGTCAGTCAATTAAAGCGCTTACTACTGTTTACAAGTGGGGAGAAAAATAGTAGTCTGGTGGAAGAAATATGTACAGATAAGTTGGAACACAGTTGTGCAAATGCCTTGTTTCTCATCTATGGTTAGCTATTCTATGATTTCAGCCTGTGAGTTTATTTTTCTTCCCTTTGTTTTTCTGGAAAGTTTATTTTCGCTTTGTTTTCTTGATATATGAGTAACTCCTAGTTCAAGTTTGATTATTCTCCTGATTTATTTTGTGATTTATAAACTACAAGATAAATGTATGTAAAATCTATTAGGTTGTTGCTACTCATTACTATTATCTTTTAGGAAAAAATTGCTACAATTCGTGATCGAATAAAGAAATTCCTACGAATGCTTAGAAACCTCGGTTCTGAAGTTATCTGGTTCGTATCTTAGTCTTATAATAACTAACAAGATTTTTTGTTATAATAATTTTATGGTTGAAATAAACATCAAAAAGGATAATTTTTTCTTGCTACTACCTCATCCCATCCAAATAATCCATAAAAATTACATATTTTTCTCTTGAATGTTCTGCTTCCATATAATTACTATGCCTGTTACCCCACGAGGAGAAGCAAAGGTCGCCCACCAGCATTCTCCATCTAACTCTGACCTGGGCAAGCATTTCCAGTTGCTATTCATCTTTTTGATGTCTCATTCCGATTTCCAACACACTGTGTACTTCGGCCTTCCTCTTTTCCGTTTCCCTTCAGGATTCCAGGTTAACGCTTGCTTCGTGATGCGGTTTGGTGATTTCCTCAATGTATGTTCTATCCACCCCCAACATCTTTTCTTAATTTCCTCAGCTGGAAGCTGATTTGTTCTCTTCCACGATAAGCTGTTGCTGATGGTATTCGACCAATGGACATTAAGTATCTTGTGTAAACAGTTTTTTATAAATACTTGTACTCTTTTGATGGTTGTGGTAATTCTCCAAGTTTCAGATCTGTGCAGTAGAGCTGTCTTGAAGTTCTTATTGATGATTGTGAATTTGATGTTGTTTGACAGTTGTTTTGAGTTCCATATGTTGTCCAACTGTAGGAATACTGTCCTTACTTTGCTAATCCTTACCTTTACGTCTGCATCAGAACCTCCTTGTTCATCGACGATGCTGCCCATTGCTTCAGTGTGCTACATTTTGTTCATGGTTACTAATCACGGTAAATAATCACTGTTCATATATATCAAGAAACGGCTGAAGTTTGAAGACAGCGTAGTTTGTACTTTTACAGTTACTTCTTATTATACATGTCAGTAGTTAAAGCGCTCAACTTTTAATCAATAGGTTGCAAATCCCAACTCCACTTTAATTCGGTTTTGTAAATCAAATAAAGTTGAGAGTCAATTACAAAAACATAGATTTAGTTATTAAATTTATATGAAAATTCCTTAAATGTCACAACTTTTAAATAAAATTTGCATCATGTCATTGTTGCTTGCAGATTTGCATTGTTCTTTATTAAGGTATGATGCACTAACTTGGTCTGGCCACTTAAGCTTTCAAAATGAATTGACCGAAGAAAATTTGCCGTATATGAAAGCGTCCGGAAGTGGTTTATTTCTCAATTATAATTGGAATCCAGTTAAGTTACGACGATCACAAGAGGTGTAAGTAACATTTTCAGCAAATTTATATATATTTCATTTCGAAATTATAGATCATTCATAACAGGAATTTCAAGGCCACAGCAATATGATTAACAAATAACGAATAAAGTATTGCTGAAATATTGTAAATACAGCTCATTTAATGAAATTAACTTAACATGTATTAGTTCTTCACACTGATAGTTAAATTCATATCGATTGAAAGTACTGGTGTAACTAAATATCGTTGTAGATGTTATGGATTCAACCTTTGATAATGCTGTGGATGCAAACTGCTAAGAAGTCCAATATTAGGGCGAAACAGCTATTCAGTACTTCTTGATTTTTAGTGATCGTCTAACTGAAGTCAGTCCGTAGTGTAAAGCTACAAAATCCATTAATCCCAACAATCCCCTATCCTAATAAGTATTTTGCGAAGGTCTTAAATTCTAAACGACTGTTGGTTAATTAAATGTTATCATGCATTCGAATAACTACTCAAAACTCTTCCCTGTCTTATCGTATTGCTCAAACAGGGCTGTTAAAGCCGAAGACGCTGGGTTGATGGTACTTTATCATAAATCTCATTGTAGTATTGGTTAATCACTGTTAAATAACCGATTAAGTAATGTTAAAGTTGGTTGTAAAGTTCTGAGATAAAGGACAAGTAGGTTGAAAGGGCTGTAACCAATTCATCATTCAAGTACCTAGTCTGTGCGATAAGCATGTAAACTTCAAAGTTTCCCGAATACGTGGTATGTCGACCAATGTTCGATGGTAGAATATTTATTAAACTGAATATTCTGTACATACTTCTAGTTCACACAAATGAAAAAGTTTGGGTGTTTTTTCTATTCATCCGTAGCATTTTGTTAGCTTTGGATCTGACTAATTACTTTTTTTTCTATTTTTTAAATCAAACAACTAGTGCTGTTAATTCTTCAATGTCAACAAAGGTGTTTGTCGGTATTGATTGTTTTGGTCGTGGTTGTATTGGAGGCGGTGGTTTCGGTACAGTCGAAGCACTGAAAGTTGTTTTAGATATTAACGTCAGTTACTTTCTATGTCTTCCTATTTCCAATTAAATTGTCTTGAGGAACTTAGATTGTCAGTTCGCGCTGTTAGCTTATCAATAGTGTACCACTTTAAAAATGTTAATGGAGTGTTATACATATTATTAGTAATGAACTGAACTGTAATCCTAATGTTTAAACAAAAGAAATTTTGGTTTCGTGGTTTCAACATAGAAAGCCTAAACCTAATACCACAGATTTAAAATTTTTTTAAACTAACTCAATCATAAGAATAAAATTGGCATTAGCTCTCATTTAAAATATACAACGCATTTTATTGAACAAACCTGCTGTAATTAGACGGTGGTTAGAGGTAGTCAACAGGGAACCCGGGTTCCGTGCTACTTGGCACTCGTCAGCAAGGTGTACCTGTAATTTTGAGGGAACTGGTTCTCCCTGACGGGTTCGAGCCCGTGTCACACAGCTTCACAATCAGAGACGCTACCACTGGGCTATCCAGGCCGTGACCGACCTCCTGTAGGACTAAGACGTAGTCACAATTGGTTGATCACTGGGTGGTGATCAATGTCATGTGTGCAGATCGAATGCTATCCAGTGACCAATCAATTGTGATTACATCTCAGTCCTACAGGAGGTCGGTCACGGCCTGGATAGCCCAGTGGTAGCGTCTCTGATTGTGAAGCTGTGTGACACGGGCTCGAACCCGTCAGGGAGAACCAGTTCCCTCAAAATTACAGGTACACCTTGCTGACGAGTGCCAAGTAGCACGGAACCCGGGTTCCCTGTTGACTACCTCTAACCACCATCTAATCTTAACATAGTGCACGCAATGTCGAGTCACCTAGACTAGCAACCACATTGCAACTTGGTCGATAGCATTCGATCTGCACTAAAAAGTAGTTGACACACATGACACTGATCACCACTCAGTGATCAATCAATTGTGAAAACTACTGTAACTTAATTTTAAACACGTTGAAGAGATTGAGACACATTACAAACGATGTTGTTGGAAATCACGTTTCGGGTGAATAAATGCGTTATGATGGAACAATTGACTTGATAAAGCACGATCAATTAAAGTAGTCAGTAAACCTATCTTTAAGCATCAGGTGAATAGATTTAAAAAGTCAGAACTATCAGTCGACCAACTTCATCATTTATTGAGGAATTAAAAATGTTATGTATAAAATGTCTATTCAAGGTATTATAATTTGTCTGATAATAATTAATTGATCTAAGATAAAAATGGTATTTTATACTTGTTATATATGTGTCCTACTCATTTCCCTATCATCTTAAAGCAAAAATACCCTGTTTACTTTGTTCTCTGTATGACTGACTGGCTCGTAATTCTTCAACTTTCCTCTTTAGTATTCATAAATCACCGACCCATCCCGCCTATAAATAACTACCTCGGCCTTCTGCCTTTCTGTAAGGTAGTCTAGTTATGTATAGATATTTAACATTACATCCTTTATCAAACGCACTAGTAGTCATTTTTAACATTTTAGAAAATATTTTAGAGAGTACTATGCACTTAAAGATGTATTCAAACACTTATTTGATCCCCTTGTTATTACTAACGTAAAACTGGTGTTTATATTCATTTGTATTTCGAATAATTATTGATAAATAAGTGGTCCTTAATAACATTTACTATGGATTTATTTGCGTTTTTTATAACCTTGTCACAATGAGTTTACTTTATTCAACCGCCAAAAAATAATTTTGATTGAGTGTAAAAAAATTGTTAGAACCTGACTTTCATCTCAAAATTTATTATTATTATAACCAAACTTCACCATTACACGTATTTAAACTACGAAATTCACTTTTCTTGACATAATATAACCTAATACTTTTTCATCATTGATTATAATTATGTTCCACAGGCTTCTAGACCCGATCGCCATTATCAGTGGCTTTATTTGCACCTGGTTGGGTGTTCGAAAAGTGCGATTTGACAGAAGCAGCTGGTGATCCAATCAAAGCATTCAGCTTATTAGCCGAGATGAACACAAAATTCTGGTCATATTTAAGTCCATTAATTTGTCGTCTACGGGGTTTGAGTAGTATTGATAATGTTACAATGCTATATAAACCTACACTTCCCAGTCTACCGGTTATTCAATTACCTTGTGATTTATGTGAAAAATATGATTCAGATATTTTATTTTGCACAACATGTTGCTCTGGTCAGGGTTTATTACCTCCAAAGCCTTGGACGGCACAAAATGAAACGATATTACAGTACGGAAGTCAAATGGGTCGGCAACAAGTAGGTGAATTATTATGTTTTCCACACTTACTGTAATCTATTTAGTGTATGTAGTGAGATAATCGCAAAGGTTAAGATATTTGAATATATCAATCACAAGTATAACAATGGTGTTCTAAGATCAGCTAACTATAAAATCAGTTGTAGAGAACCGCTAATTTTATTAAAATTATTGCAATCACCACTTTGTAAACAAAAAACCATGTCACTTTTCGTTTATTAAGTCATAACTATCACATTGGAGTTTTCGGTGACTTGAAGTGAACATGCATATATCTTCGGTGTTTCCATTTGAACCTTCATTATGGATCACCTGCCTATTGCCTGATCGGAATATCTCGAAATTGATTTATTTCGATCGTTTCCTATTTTATTAATTTGCTATCGAACTGCATACTTTGATAATTTTGATAAGTCATTATTTACTTTGTTTAGATATCCAGCTGAAAAATTTGCGTGTTCACAAGTTAAATATCCACGTTCGATGCATGCTGTTTCACTTGTATTGCTTACAGAAAACACACACTAATTTTACTTTCTTGTTAAATATTATTGATAAGATGTAGATGTAAGCTTATTTTTCAGCAAAATATTTTTCAATTTTCCAACCAATGCAGTAGGATTGATGAGTTTGTTGGGATTCTTTGTTGTCTATTTTCGTTATAGGTTTTTTTCGTGAGCAAGTAGACCTGCCTTTCCTTTTATTAATGATTCATAAAAACAAAAAACCACTTCGTTTACGATATTTCGAGGTAGTATGGAATATATTTGTGTTGAGTTATCATTTTGTGGTTCATCATGACCCCATGGAGAGAAGAGTCCTAGTGATCGTCCATGGTATCGATTGGCCTGAAGAACTGTCAGATGTTATTTTACTAACTTGTGTGGCTTACATCTCTTACTGCTCATCGTCAGTCAAATTTACTTTGAAACAAACAAAGTATATAATAACTTACACTTGCTCTTTGTGGTTAGTAGTGTTTAAATTCATTTCATATTTGATAATACATTTTCTAATCGACATATCGTTTGTATGAATGACTCGCTCAATTACTGAAAAAGATTTAATTGTCATTTATGTGGTGCTTACTGTTATCTTGTTCAATAGATATTTCCAACTTGCCGTGAACTAAACAAATCATTGACTGATAATGACATGATGAGATTTAGTTTTTCCGTAAGTCATCTAATGATTAGTTGATAGTTTTTCCAGTTTTTATCCCACTAATTCAATTAGTTTTCTTTATCGGATCACTAATTTATTTTCTAGGGCTTTATCATGTAAGAACGTGCATTCTTCTAGAGACTTACATTCCTTATGGACTGATGAATAAATGTAAACTTGATTTTTCATTCCCACAATGGTAGTTGAGTATTGCTGTCTTTTAAAAAAAGTCCTCTAAGTGTTTACTTTTCAAGTTTTTGCCACCAGTAGCCCGCTCATCATTTCCTTCCAAGTCCTAGATTACGTGATCATGGGTGGTGATCTATGTTCTATTATTTATTGGTTCCAAACATTAAAAAGCCCCCTCGTAGTTTGGAGTACCGTTTTAGAAGGTCATGAGCCTCAGTCGTTAGCACTGGTAGTCCATTACGAATATCAGTAGAAATAGAGGAATTACTAGAAACTGAAGGAGAGTTTCATAGTAAATAAAATAACTATAGGCATTCCTGAAAGTTTGGAGTAGGGATTGATGCTTCCCGGTTGCCTTTGTAGTGAAGAGGCATTTATACTTGTGGAACCTCAAAATGAAATTTGTTTGCTGCCAAATCTTTCATCGACCCAGGATCGTGGACCATACTACTCAAGGGACAATTACTAAAAACAGGTTGCACTCAACAATTTACGCAAATAATTATTTTTTGTTCGTATTACTAACAATATGACTTTTTAAAGCATCTAGGAAAAAACAACTGTTCATAACTCCCTGATTTTTATTGAATTATAGCTAAATTCAGTCCTTGTTGTAAATTAACCTTGGACATCATTTTTGTTAGCTTGTTGGGATTGAACTTAATGATGCTAGCTGGTTTACTTTCTTCACATGCTCATTACGTATAATGTTTCATTTCATAGGCTGTCCAAATCTTGGAAACAGGTTACGAAAAATTCACAGGAACGTGTTTATGTATACGTTTCGAACAATCCGATATAGTAGTCGATTTTGAGCAACAAAAATCAAATGATTCACTAATGGAGTTATTTCTTTTTGGTCGTAATTCATTTATATCTGATAAAGCACAATTCAAACTAGCCATTACTCCATACACTTTAAATAAGGAGACATCTTTGCCATCTGAACAACGTTTGGACCATAAAATCGGTTTAAAACTGTTTGTGGATACATTTCATTTCCCGGATAAAAATGATGGTGAAATTAATTTTAAACGCACATTTCTGACAGCCGATGAGGGTTAGTTTTTTGTCTTACATTTGACTTTTGACGATGTTACTTTACTTCCTAAAATATAATTCTTATGATTTCTTTGAGTGTTTTGTGTTGAAGCTCAATAGATCCTTTTCACTGATGACTGACCGATTCATTCTTAACCACATTAGCTGAGTTTGATGTTCACGAAGGTTAAGGATAATTTTAGTATAATAAACCATCAGTCACGTCATTTTGATATAAAATCTAAATATCACAAGCGTGCTAGCCAAACCCGAAGTGGGTAGAAAAAGACTGAAAACTCTAATCTGATTATTAGTTATCAGTCGGTTACAGTTTGTTATAAATGAGATTTGTTAAATGAATAAGGGTTGTGATTGTGAAAGTGAATCAATAAGGTGCCTATCACTTGGTGAAATTCAATGATACAATAGAGTCGAATGGTGGTTGTTCACGAGATTGAATTATCGACGTAAGCTCCCGGTCGAGCTGGTATCATACAATAAAATGGCTGCCCAGTAGAATAGGTTTTCCACTAGAAAATAACATACTTATGTAAAAAATATTGACATAAAACTGACATGATTATGCGTTATGAATGATTTGATAAAATCGATTTTGTATATTGTTCATTCTATATGGGAATGAAGAACTTAACCGTTAGACTTCCCCATCATTTCAATTTCATAATGTCTTTCTGTTACTGGTGATATTTTGTATACAAAATTGCAATGAGCTGCCACGAAGTCTAAGACTCGCTAGTTTCTGCTGGCTTATAGTTTCTAATAACTTATTTGTTTTCTTTTATATGTGTCATTTATACAAATTTTGTGACTAATCTATAATTCCTGTCTACTTTTGTTTAAAAGGTAAACAATCTATTGTGGATTTTAGCAAAAACAATGTGATCATTACCAAAAATATCTTTTAGTCAATTCACTTGCCAGTTGAAGTCAATGGTAATAACTACTCCTGTAGAAAATTGTTTATAGTAGTGTGTTGATAGATTATACCTATTTATTTACTTTAAGATGATGACTGATTAAATTACCGTCACTACTCTTGAACTTATAATTACCAAATCTCAGCATTTTTAAAATGGTATTACCATTGAATATCAGCATTCCCTTGGAGACTGGTGATCGAACACTGCAGGTTATTGAATAGCCCCGATTCGGACAGGCTAGGTTTCACAGGCACAGAACTGAAGTGCTCTCAGTGACGCGTTGTAAACCCGATCTCTTGCTGACAGATTAATATTACGACAATGCCAAAAGTGACCCAGATTGGTATTAGCTGCTCTGACTTATTATACATAGATTGACTTCATCTGTCATTCCACTACCAGCACTCACAACTACCCAGACACACAACCTCTCTAATTATTTCTAATAACACAGCACAAACAGTAGATGTGGACACAGGCATCTCCCAGTCTAGTTGAAGTACTTTGCTTTTCAAAGGTTTAAATAAATTACCATACCTACAGACACTAATTCTCAGCTAATTAAGTGGAGTTTGAAAAACCGGCATATTATTGCACTGCAAGAAAATTCCACCCACGTACTGGAAATCGAAAAGTGTCTCTCTAAGTAACAAACTCACGAATCTATACACCCATATTTTGATATTTGAGCCACATTATACTATCGTCATTATAACGTCTAACAAAATATTCCTAGCTACCAAAGTCGTTTCGATTGTTTTTACATTTACACAATTTATTAAGAGCTAATTTAATTCATTGTCTCAGTATAGTTACATTTTGATTGTATGAGGGCTACTAAAAGTATACAACTGTCCAGATTGTAATAGGTTGAGTAGAATTCGGACCTACAAGTGAAATGTTAAAATCCAATAGATTAAACCACTGTACTGTCAAACCACTTTCTTCCTTGCCGTTAATGAAATCTCGCCTATGTACAGTTCTTTTTTTTTCAGGTATCACAAGAAGAGGTTTATGTATTTACTTTCAAATCGCCCTGTGTGAATAAATTTTTCCCATGAATATAACTACTTTTAAAGTAGAGATAAGATAATCTAAGCAAAAAGTTATAAATATTAGTTTATTCTTATTCTTCTTCTTATTATTATCATCATCGTTATTGTCATATTTCTATATTTAATCCAGAAAGAATTGAATTGAAAAACAATATACCTTGGTCTGTACTTTATTACAACGTAACTGATCTCATTTTTGATCCCAATAAAAATATTTCAGAGTCAGAAAGATTTTCATATACAACATCTTCATCACATTGTATCCATCTACATCGTATCGGTTTAGCTTGGAGTTGGAATTCGATTTTACATACTTATGATAAATCTATCATGAAGTTCAATGGTTTTCTTATAGGTTTAATTGAACTACGTGATCCTCAATGGCCATTGGAAAATTATTTTGAATAATAAATTGATTAATTAATATGATTCATGTGTTTTCTTCACAAATCTTTCACTCTCTATTGAATTTATTTATTCTTTTCTTATCCTGTCTCATAATTTTGCATGATTTTCGTATTGTTTTATTTTTCTTCCAAAATTTCATGTTACTGTGATCAACAACATAATTGTTGTTATTGATAATATGACTACTATGACTTCCAGATTTTTATACTTAGTATCTTATTATCATTTGTATTATTTATTAATAGTTTCGCTACGTATACAATAAAAATATCGACTTCTAGGATCTTAGCTTATTTGTCTTTAGTTTGTTTGTATGAAGATGTCAACCTTGCAATGATTTCTTTGTAAATGGTATGTATGTGCATGAGTCATGTTTTCAAAATAATTGTAATGATCCATTATCTTCTAGATGTTGTACGAACTAATTTTATTAAATTGTTATCTTAAACAGAGCAAAAACAAAGATTGGTGCAGAATAATACGAATTCATTTTATTTCATTAGGTTCTCATTAGCTGCTTACAACCTAAAATATTTGAACATAGTCGTTATTACAGATATTGACATAATTATACATACGAGGTTGATGAAAGATGAATATATGTATTATGGTGTAGTGAAGATTCCGATAGAGTTAATGAGGTTATAAAATTTTTGTTTCGAATCAATAAAGTTTGGGAGGGAAAGTCCCAGAACATTGAAATAGTGATTAGAACTCATTGAATTAAAAAACACATTAGATGACTATGTAATGAAGTAACTGAAAATAGATTAATAGTAATAAAGATATGAATTGAAATCAGTCAGTTATGAATTGAAGAAAAATGATAATGATGTAATTTATACTTCAGAAAGAGTTGAAATAATGGATGACGTAATAAATAAAAAAGTTTAATGTTACCAGGGCAAAGAAAGATTTATTACTGTCTCTTTTTGGATACATAGATCTGGTTTTAGACGTTTGATTGCGATCGCTTTGGCAAATTTCAAAAGGTTGGAGTCTGATTGTTTGTTAATTACCTTGAAGGACTTCAGTGTATCGACTTCATGTCCTGTGTCAAGGAGATGTCTTGCGATGGCACTGGTGGATGCTTCTAATCCATTTGATCTTAAACATTTCAGAATATGTTCTTTGAATCGGACGTAGACCCTCTTATCTATTCTACCAATGTAATTGCTTTGGCAGATACATGTAAATTTATATACACAGTTGATGGTAACATGAAAGAGATACCTGTCGACCTTTGATTGTGTTAAAGAACATGTTGTTTTGGACAGAACAATCAGTTTAGCTGCAGTATAAGTTTTTGTCAATGCAGTTTTTAATCTCAAATTGATTGACCCTGTGACATCACCTTTGAATTTAAGTTGAATAAAAATATTTTTTGTATTTGCTGTAGTTCATCTGGGTTTTTTTTATCTACACGTTTTTCATATTTCTCAATAAATTTCAGTGGGTATCTGTTATTCTTTAAACATTTTTTAACATTCTTAACTTTCTCTTCTACTGTATCTGCAGTACACATTCCCTCTGTTCCGTGAAACTGTTTTGACAAGTGCCTTTTTGTAACTGATTGGACAAAAGCTATTGAAATTGAGATAAACCCCATTCCATATGTCTTTTTTATAAACTGAATGTGGAACTGTGCCATCCTTTCTTCGTTTCATTACGATATTGATTCAGTTTCCAGTCAGGTGTCAAGAACTTTGGTGTTGTTTCTGCACAGAATTTTCTCAATTATAAATGCTTTATTGGAATTGTATGCACAAACGATTTTTCAAAATTCATTTCTTAAAGAATTAACCAGACAAGGAATTAGCGATTAAATAGCACAAGCGGCTGCAACACCACTTCAAGTGGTCGATGGTTATCCATAATTAACAAACTTAGTTTCTCACTTAACGTATTTACTGAACAGAATATACAGTATTTGTTGTGTTATTTGAATTACGACCGATATCATGTAAGACTAAATTTGTATGTGTTAACCGGTCACTTAACAGCGTCTCCGTTAGTGCTGGGTGAGGTCGTTTAATAATAACAATAATTGTACATTTTCTGATGCATGAATATTCACATTTATTGGAGACTCTGTTCTATATAATCGTTGGATTTTCATATTTATTTTCAAATATAACAATTTGTAAATGATTTTGGTGCCTGTGGTATAGCATTTTGAAGACTTGGTCCTTATATTGTTTGCGGTCTTCATTTAATTTTATTTGTAATGGTCTGAATTATCTTGTTTTAGAAATTTTTTGACTGAATTCTGACCAGCCTTAGTTGGAATATGTGCATCCTGTGCATGTTGCTTCAATATAACATTTACATCACAAATCGTTATAGAATAAATGGAATGCGTCGAGCAGTGTAATCCAGTACGCTCGTTTCATCCTTTTTGAGACTTGCCAGCTGGATGCACCTGTACCTCTGTATTGTTTGCAAAATGACTCGGATCCAGTATCTTTCACTTCAAACACCCAACTGGTTATATAATTCATGAAGTTTCTTATTGTCATTTAGGGAATTTCTTTTATAGATGTTAAGGAAAGTGTGGTTTTCCATTTCCAACGAATTCGTGTGTTCCGCACTCATGTTATTTCTGTACGAGTTTCACACGTTAAATACAATTTCAGATTTTTTATTTACTTTCTATAATGTTTGATTCAACCCTTGTTTTACTCTTGACAAGTTTCATACATTCTAGTCGCAGACTTTCTAGTAATTTTTCAACTTAAAATCTTTTCAGATTCCGAAATTGTCACCATTCTCATATTACTCCCTGTTACCGAATTTCCCGAGTACCAGACTGCTTCGCTTTGGAACTTCATTAGTACAACTTTGCAGAAAGTCGTCCAATCAGAGTGGAAAAGTTGGTGACTATGGTGCAGCTGTTACTCGATTGCGTTTTCCAGTTTCTTCAAGACCGATTCGTATGAGAAGGGCTGAGGGTGTTGGTGGTGGTGTAACAGGTCGTATGATGTTGCTTAGACGGTATGTTTCAAAGCTATTTGATGATGAACGCATCGAATTACCATGGCCACATGCTACTGAAACTCGATTATACGCTGAGCGTTTGATTCAGGAAAGCATCTTGGCATCAGCTGAACAGGATCTCGTTTCGCTATTTGAACTTTGGAAAAATTCTAAGGAACCAAAAACCAACGATAAACTCAATCTTGGTATTCTAGAGCTTTCTGTGTTTTGGCTAACTGAGGAACGTTTAGTTGAAAAATTATTCAAGGTATTCGAAAAACTGATTTTTAATTTTGTATGTTCTGCATTTTTTGTAATTTTATCTGCATGCATCAACTTACTAGTAACAGTAGGATTTGGGTTTATGTTTTGTATACGCTGTTGCTCATCAGCAGTTTTATGCAGTATTGGGAGTCTTATGATCTTTACTCTGAAATAAGATCGTGTATCCGAAATTTGCTTCACAAATTCTGGTTTGGGCAGTCGAGTATTATTGTTAGCTATCACATAGTGCCATCTGCACAAAACTGTATTTACCTGCTAAATTTCAGTCCTGTTCATTGCAACATCTTATTTGAAAAGACCATTTCTGGCTTTTTTAAATCAAATATATGCCTAGTTCCTTAACCAACATGTGATTTGATTTTAACTTGGTTCGTGTCAAAGACTAACAGTTTTCAAACGGAGTTCTTTAAGTTACTTTTAGCTATTAAACCTGACTCCATCTTTGGGTCGACACAATCAACTGCTTAGTCCATGTAAACATTTATTTATCATTTGTATTGGCTGGGAACAAACGATTATCAATTATAATTTGCAGGAGATAAAGCCCGTTACCATTCTATTCATCTGGAGTGGGAATGAATGTTTAAAGAACCATTTCACCCCGTCCAATATCTTCACCCTTCCAATATCTTATTCGGAGTCAGTAGCAACTATGATTGCTTTCATTTGTTCGACACCCTCAAAGAGGTTTGGCTAGCTTTGATAAGATTATTTAAAACGGAGCTGAAAATGTAGAATAACGGTAAGTCACTCATTGTTGGGGAGATCCAAAATATTCCTCGCAAAGGCATGTAGGGGTCCGTAAGACTCTGAGGAACATTATATCCAGTCAGCGTTGAACAGAAACCGCTCAGAAGCATCTAAAAAGTGAGGAATCAAGTGTCACGTTTTTGATTGAATAATTACCTATGCTTCTACTATATTTAATATGGTTCCAGAAACTTTCAGAAGCCCAAGGTTGTTTGAAATAATATAAACATCCTAGTTTTTCTATACATAAACTAACCTTGGAGCAAAGCATTCTTTTCGCACTTCGTGATTTTTTTTTATTGTGCTCAAGCTACCGTGTAGATTTAGCTTGGGATTTTTAGAAGAGATTAGGAAACCGATTCAAGCATTCACTTATAAGACTTATAAGTGGCAATAGTCCTACGTTGTAGCTGACTCTCTAAGCGTCCACGAAATTGACTTTAACAAAGCACGAAGAGTTGACGTCTGAAATTCCAGAGTCATCAAGCCTACGATAATATTCCTGTCTACAGAAAAGTCGTATTGAATTATGACGCTGTTTAGGTGAAGTTAACTCAATAAGTATACTTGCATCTTGCATGTGTGTCTCAGGAACGTCGTACATAGACTGGATTGATTCAGTTTTGGCTAGTGTTGTTTATCCGTTCTGAGATACGGATTTTAAAGCGTTTGTCAGTAATATGGTTTATATAAATCAAAAGTTTCGTAGTCTCGATGGTCAGATTGAGGAAACGTACAAGTTTATTTATTCGTTTATCTAGATGTGTTGGGTTTATTGCTCAACATTAAAGTCAGATTTCTGAGATTTATCTCACTTAACTTTTGAAAAGTGTTACTCATTGGAGAGTTCTTTTCTGTTCTACAATGATTATCACTCTCAGCAATCGGAAGTTGTAAAACAAAACAAATTACATGGTTTTCTATGGAGTGTTTTTTTACCGTCCAAGTTTACATAAAAGTATTAGTTGTCAGTTAGTTTTAGCGCAAATACTAAAATTAACTTTCAGTTTAAAATAACATAATGATTAAATTCTAATTTAGATTATCAAATTTATGTCTACTATTTAGTTACTGTTTGAAATTGTTCTCAAACGTAGTTGGATATAAGTGTTTATTTTGTTTTGTTCACATCCTTAATAATAATAATACTATTGTTATTATTAATTAATTAATTAGTTAATTAACAATAGAATAATGACTAGGTATCCATACTGTGAATTCTAGATATCTAAAAGAAATAACTATTGGATTTTCATGAGTATCTATAATGAATGAAATCAATTTAACAAAACTCTCAATATCCTAACAGATTTTGTAAATGCATTAGTAAACATATTATAATAATAAATTGTTAATTAATAGATTCATTAGGTAAATTTTACTAAAGAATGATGAAGTATAAAGTGTATATTCCATTAAATTTTAGGCTAGACAAATCTATGTTGTATATTTATCATATTGACTCTTTATGTTCGTACACTAGAACTGGAATTCATTATAACTATAGTTTAGGATAGTTTATTTATTAAGCCCCAAATATGACTAATTAATTTGTTTATTCACTTTATAACTGAAACTTGTTCATAAAATCTACATATAAGCTCTGTGGTATTTATTCTTTTTTCCTGCTAATAGTTTGTGGTGTATATTACTATAGTGTATGCTTTAATTATTTTCGTTTCAGGTATTTGTACCAAGATACAGGTTTTATGAACGCTCATACACTAGTTTGTTTCAGATTTTTCCTCCAGTTCATCCGATAAAATCTAGTGGTACTAAATTATTTGGAATATTGGAATTGCACGGAAATCCATGGCCACCTGTTCGTGGTCATGGTATAATTGGACGAAGTTTAAATCCAGAACCATTTCAAGATCGTTATCTCATCAATGTTCTATTGGATGCTGCACGTGAATCATCAGCTAAGAAGAATTGTACACCATCCACATCATCACCTATTGTAATTGATTATGAACTACGTCCAATTAATTGATTGTATGTGATACACTTATGTAAATATCCATGATTTATCTATTAACGGATCTTGTATGTCTATACTTCTATTCCATATTCCTTATAAATACTTGGAAAACTTTTCATATTATGAAATAAATTTGCATTTTACTGCATGTACTCTTTTTGATTTTTCGATTTATTGAAAGAAATTGTTAGTTTCAGTATATTTCTAAAAGACTATTTTATACCTTATAAGCCGTTAAAAGTTTGACATTTTCTCTGTGTAGTGTAAAAAATGTGTGTGTTTTTTAAAAATAAACCGTTTTTACAGACTTAAGTAGAATCAATTGTCTAGCAAATACTTATCAACTATTTACTTATATCTTCTATGACTTCGTAATTTGTGCTCTGCCATGGCTAACGTTAGAAATCACTTTAGTTTGCGGCATGATTGTGTTATTTATGCAATCAGCCGAACAGTCTTCTGTTATGATGAAACTGAAGGATAGTTAAGATGAAATGGTTATCTGTTTAAAGCCTAAAATTTCCTACTGCAATTAAGTCTAAGTGAATCTACATACCTTTTTGAGGGTCAGAAGTTCACAGCTACCGTTCATAAAAGATGTAGTTATACTACTGTCTGTACTGAAGTGTGGCAGTAGTAAGGTTTTTTCATAGGTGGTCAGCATCTCCAGCTAGTCTCCCTTTATACAAAGAAGAGTGGTTAGTAAGGAGAATAGCTCGAAAATACATACATGCTTTGGTTTCAGATTTTCAGTGCTGGGTGTTGAGCACTATAAAATCAAAAATGGTTACTTGCGAACAACCTTGTGTACGCAATTATTTTTTTCGCTTCACACTCATCCAGAGACGGATATTGGATTTCAAACCCTTAGTGATCTAGAGAAATTAAGAGCTAAGAAGAGCAATAGGACTTGATGACCAATTTCAGAGTGTTTTAAGGACTGTAACCTAACATTATAAGTAAAACTCATCATTATTTTAGATCGAGAAAGCTCAGCTATAATTCTTAACTATGGTCTGTCACAATATGGGTAATAATCGTCTCCGTATTTCCACTTACTATCTAAGAGAAATAACTGATGTCGGTTTTAAAAAGTATGTTTAAACATGTCTAGCGAGAGTTGTACAGGTCCGGAAAATCGGAAGTATTTGATTGCTGTGTACTTGTGTGATAATTGACGTTAAAAGTATTAGCATTACATTGAGGATATTTCTTGATGAAAGTTAAGCAAACGTCTGTAAACTTGTGAATTTTGATATTGACTCCCTGGATGATTGGAAGAGACGGTCCCCAAGTGGTAAATGGTGTGCTGTTTCTGATAAGTTATCGTAAAGTCCATTTTCGTACCTACCCTATCATCTATTTTAATCACATTTTTTTAAATTAAGCTTAGAATTGTACCTGTTTGTTTTCCTTTCACGTATATGGTATATTATTACCTGATCAAAGTAAGTCCTCAGTTTTCACCACTAGGTAAGATTTACGTATGCATAACAATCTAAGAAGATAAGGAACTTTTTAAGGTTTGAAGGTAAGATAAATTTAGCTATGTAGTACTTTGGAAACTAGAAACCAGAGAACACTGGGAAGATTTTTTCGCGAGTGTGCAACATGTCTAGTGATTTCAGGTTCGTGGAATTCTCGATTATCATCCATTGTCACCAGTAAACCTTCGTTTCACCCTCAAATTGGTTGACTTTTCTACCTCATTCAATTGTTGCGATTTTCTTTTTGTTATTTTGTTAACTTTTGCAAATAAAGTATTTCGATTATATTACAAATTTTCAAATGATATCTAATGTGTTTGTTTATACTATGTATGTATGATTAACTAAAATGAAAGCATATCAGGATAACAGTAATCCTCGTATAGACTATCACTTTTTGATATCAAATTTATATATGTCACCATAAAATAATTTTCCTTCTCAAAAATAAGTCCATTTTATAAATGGGATATATAAATTTTATCATTTTACGCACTAATCGATCATTTACAATTGATTAATATTATATATATTCCTCATTAATAACTAAATCCTGTCAAATAAAGTACAATTAAAAAGGCAATAATAACTACAAACTGTGCATGTACATTGATTTATCATACCTGTTAACTATTATGGTAATAATAGTATAAATAAAATTAAATTGAGTCGGCTTCAAAATGTTATATAAAACATCGATCAGCAACGTTCGATCTTGACTATGATACTTCCACTTTCTTGGTCTTATTTAGAATTACACCTATTATATTAGCTTCAGAAGTTTGTGGAGATTAATTTAATTTGAAAAACAATCAATAATCACTAGACACTTGTTTTACCCTGGGTTTTTAAACTCAACCGTGCGCTCACCGACGGCCGTACTTAGTACCAAACTCAAATCCTTTTGGATTTTATGACAAGCGTTTAACTTTTGGACCATTAAGTTTTCGCTCTGCAGTGGATAACATTTCAATAATTCTCCAACTGATATTGATCAGTGACCAAAACCAATATCCATAATGATGTCTTTTTAACGCATTAACGAAAGCATTCTTAATTAGTAATTGCCTTCATGTCCTTTTTTTCTATTTCCAAATTTATTTCACTGCATTATACTCCCTTAATAACATTTTCAAACCCTAATCTTTCCGATTACTGCTTATACTCTTATCACCTCTACCACTACGGGATTTGAATCGACAATTGTATCTGTGTGCTAATGTGGGCAACTCGAACTGATGTACGTACGTACGAAGTTCTACGTTGTTATTGACTGACTGAGTAATTGCCTATGAAAAAAGTGTGGTTGAAAAAAAATGAAAGATTTGGTTGTGTTTATGTCATGCTTCTTCAATCGTAAACAGATAATATATTTTAAGAAAATCAAGAAATAGAATTTTTGACCGACTTAAGTGTTTCCATGATACCGAGATAACTAAACTTATTCTCGTTAAAACGGCTATTAAAATTTTATTGTGACATTTACTGTCACATTTTGTATATGAGTGAGTAATTGTTTATGATAGAGTATCATTTGACTTAGTGTAACTTGCGATTTGCACTAATTATTTACGTCTGTTATCCTAGCTAGATTTCATTTTAAAAAAACCTTAAATGTTTAAGTGATTTGTTTCAAGATTTTGAACAATTCTCGTACTCATTAAAAAAAAAGATTTTAGCATACTCATGTGATTAATTTACTAAGGAAAGTAATAAATTACTTTATATCGGAATAAGATATTATCTTATGTGAATCTATTGTCCAGTATTTAAAGCAATTGTGTATCAACCGTTCCATTACAATTTCAAGTTTTATCCTATCCCTTTCAGTTTGAATAGCTCTCGCACTTATAGTTAAACCTAATATCGAGTACATGAGCAAGAACACTTAATGAATCGGCTACACTACATTATATTATTTATTGAACTCTACATTTTATAATAAAAAAAAGTGCTGAATGCAAAACCAATTACGAATACCGCTTTATCTTGGATATGGTCATAAGAAAGTATTTACAAGACATCAGCTAAATATTATTTCTATTCGATGGAAAACAGTGTGTCCAGAAATATCACATGATAATGAAACTACTGTATCAACATCTAGTCCTCAGTGGAATATTTTACGTAAGTTACCCTTATTTGGTTAAAAGTATACTTTTGTTTTTGTTGCTCGAATTTCCTTCGAAAGGTTTGAATTATTAAATATCTATTGATTTTGATAAACGCTTTCTTAGTGATTTATGCATAGATGATATTGGTTAGAAGGCGACATTGTAATGAGATTTTTGTTATGGATAATTCCAGTTATAGTTTTAAAATATTATGACAAAAAATTTGTTAAAATTGTATAAGGATAATACAGGAATTTACGTTGAAATCATGATTTCTTTTAAAAGATGAAAATTACTATTTTAACATTGTTCTCCTTTTTTGTAAAGTAGACAATTAGAGCTTAACGTTTGAATTTTTTTTCGATATGAAGGCTTGTTTTTATCTTCCTAATTTATATGGTTTCCGTGAATAGTAGTAGGATGGATGTGTATTGCGTACTGATTATTTTGAAGGAGTACCTACTTCCCACCTCATGTTTCATGTCAAGTACATGAAGCTTCTGTCTGCGAGACGATTGTTCTTAGGAATACACCCATTAAAACACCTAAATTCCTGTTTCTATATCTTTCAATGTACCTGATTTTGTATGTATATGCAAATTGGTGAATAGAGTCGGAGGTTTAATATGCTAGGTATTTGTTTACTTTGATATCTGTTATTCAGTTTATTGGGACCTATTTCGATGAAGTAAATGAACTACATAAAACTACTTTCAGTCTTTTATTCATCTTTTTGCAATTTAGTTGCCTCTGAATATGATTCAAATAGTTTTATGTTGCTTCTCTTGCATATTTATTTCATCATAAGTGAGCCAGGGTAACCATTTGATCGAAGATAACTTTCTATTTCTAAACATTCTTCTTCAATATTATCTGTAAAACACAACTTCCTCTCTCCATGGTAAAGGAATTTTATTAGTCTACATTTATAACTTAATGAACAGAAGCTATGAAAGTGAAGTAGTGTAAGGTCTCAATCTTATAGTTCTTATAATGTGCTATTCAGGATACCCTTTCTTCTCTGGAAGATTTATTTCATTCTTTGTAGCATCAGGTATGTAGAAGTATGATGTGATCGACTGGACTGAAATAGTGATGAGAACAGATTTGCAGTAACACATCGCAAATTGACAACAAAACGATTGGTACTCCGAGAACCATACATCATAAAAATATCAGAAGATAACGTGTGATAATTCTCATATGATAGAAATTGAACTCCTTTTGTACATTTTTAGACAACCTAAAATCAGTCGAAAAGTAATTAGATAATTTATGTTCATTGAGGGTTCAACAGGTAAATAGATGAACCAATAGATTATTCTGACAACTTAGCAGCATGGATCAAAATCTAGTGTCGAAAAATTTATACCTCGTTAACCAATGGCTTAAATAGTGATTTTCAATATACCCACTTTCCATCTAGCTTATTCAATTATATCCTAATTTGTTTATTTAGTAATTTCAGTATTCGATCCTGGTTATAGAAGTTATCAATGTTAATAAAAATAACGACACATCTGATTATTTTTTTCGGAAGAGCAGAATTATAAACAACGAGGAGCCTTTCCATAGAAGTGCTGTAAAATTGTTTAATTACCTTTATTTACAAATTTTCCTCAATATGGTGGTTAAAATTTACCACTAATCTTCTTATGTTGCAAAGTACTACATACGAATTGTTTGTAGTAGAGGTTGGATTCCTTCAATGAGTGAAACTTGTAATCTA